GCCTGTTAATCTTAACTAAAATAACTTTTCTTGGCAGTTTTAATCCTTTCTAAGAAAGTTGAGTGCTTATAAATTGATCCTCTCCTTTTTGAAAATTGTAAATCTTTAGTACCTGTAGATATTTTCAGAACAATACTGAATATTTTATTTTAGAAAATCTCCGTCACTGTTTTATGATGTCATATTGGGTTTATCTCACGTGCAATAAAATGTGTGCTATCAGTCATTTTCAAATGTATTTCACGAAACTAAGGATTTAAAGACAAAGTAACTATAGCGGCAATTATAATTTTTCTGTAAGAACTATTTTATGACTTGTTTGGATCTAATACTGTTTATTTTATAATATCGCCGAAGATGACTTGCAACTATATATTTACCATAAAGTTTGAATGAGAAAGTAAATTAAACAGTATACATGTATTCACAGTTAATGCGATTATGTTTAAATTTGACTAAAGTTAAATGTCCAAGACATATATACAGAACTAAATAAAACTTTCCATCAAGCTCACACTTTACCCACCAAGTCCTGTTTTCCAAGTCATTACCGACCAATTTCCATCCGCCCATGTATTCTACCTACGCCAATATCAATGATTCAAACGACCTTTAAGTTTTTGTGTAACACCCTCTTCAAATTCAAATATGGACCGTCGCCTCCAGATTTTAGTTTGTTTAAGGGAATTTATTCTTACCTCGTTTCTATTTTGAGATATTCCAAGAATTTCAAGGAGAATTTAAATTGGTACATGAAGTTTTTTGTATAATTTAGTTTTCCGTAGGATTATACTGTAATTTTCTTTGACAAATATTAATGTAAAGGCATGAATGGAAACGATATAAAATATATTGATTTAAAATTTAATTTTAAAATCAGTGTAAATTTGAACATAAGATTCTTCATGGACCAAGTATGGATCCAATTCTTCAGTAACATTCTGTTTGCCTTGATATCTGCCGTTTTTGGCATTCTGTAATAAGATGCTGCATTGAAATCATAAAATTCCGGGATCAAAATCTTTTTATGTTTATTTGTTGACAAAAATAACAAAAGTAAGGTCAAAAGTTATTTTTGATCCTTAAAATAACAAGAAATGTTTGGCTCGAAGGACCAAAATGATCAAGCAGGTGAACACTAAATAGAGTATGTTTGCTTAATTCACATTCAGTAACTATTATGTCAATAGGAATCACTAAATATAATTAAAAACAAAAGTAAATTGGGCATTGCAGCACAGTAACACTTTAAGGGTCAAGTGGAGACACTTATGGCGAATACTAAAAGAAGTAGGCGTACCACAACATCTAATTACGCTTATAACTGAACTATATGAACACACTACTGGATCAGTTAAAGTACTTGACACACTTTCGAACGAGTTTCATCCAGAACGGGGTGTCAGACAAGGATGTATACTATCTCCACAATTATTCAACATATATGGAGAGTATATTATGCGAAGAGCACTTGAAGGATGGGAAAAGGGCATCTCAATAAATGGTCATAAACTAAACAACCTACGTTTCACAGATGACACAGCCCTTCTTGCAAATAGTCAAGCAGAGCTGATGGAACTTATACGACTGATCGAAAACGAAAGTCAAATATTTGGTCTGCAATTAAACATATCAAAGACAAAGATCATGATAGTGGATAGACTACACAACAATCATCCACACATAACCACAATTGACCGGTTCGAGGTTGTTTGCTCATATTTATATCTGGGATCATTAATCACAAACACAGGCTCATTACAAGAAGAGATTAAACGTAGATGTGATCTAGCAAAAGTTGCCACAGCAAAAATGACCAAAATATGGAAGGAATGTCAAATTTCAAGAGCGATAAAGATGAGGTTGATCAACTGCTTAATATTCCCAATACTGACCTACGGATGTGAATCTTGGACTCTGAGACAATCGGAGAGAAGAAAGATAGACGCCACTGAAATGTTCTGTTGGGGACGAATATTACGAATTCCTTGGACCGACCGTAGAACAAATAATTCAATTTTAAGAGAGCTAAAAGTTAGCCAACGACTCTCTAGTAAAGTCCATCTCCAACAATTAAAATATTTTGGGCATGTTATGAGAGCAAACACAGAAAACATGGAAAGACTCATAATACAAGGAAAGGTAGAAGGCCGAGGATCACGAGGAAGATCCCCAACAAGATGGATAGATCAAATTACAGAAATATACCAAAGACCTATGCATGAATTAAAAGAAATGACCAGAGACAGAGATCTCTGGAGACGGACAATACACGACATCACGTCGACCACTACACTCCCCCTGGGAAGTCAGTATTGAAGAGAGAGAGAGAGAGAACACTTTAAGTCTTAAGAGAAACAGAATCTCTTAAATAATAATAAAAAAACATCTTGTTTGCAGATTAAGATTATGTTTATCCTATCCCGATATTAATTTTCCTACGAGACACTGGTTCGTTTACGATGTAATTTCCGTGGAAAATGAGGAAAATTCCCGGTGCTTCGTGCGGTTGATTGTATACTTACAATTTTTAACTATTTAAAAATTTTGCACAAGTCAAGTTGCTTTCTAGTTTTGCTGTTGCGGACGAAATAACAGATTTTACTGCGATTGTTTTGCATTTTAAAATTGCTTTTGACTGAAATTAGACGGTATTACGGCATTACTGCCTTTTTCTTTGTTGTAAATGGAACGGAAACGAATAGTTGGAGAGTGTTTAGATTGTCGTACATACGAAGGATGGAAATTAGCAGTTTCTTTGTAATTAGCATCAAACAATCTGATTGTAGTATATAGTTTTTCATGCCCTTATAGCCGAAGGACACGAGATTTTATACTTGGGAATGTAAAAATAGCAGTTTTCTGAAGCCGCAGTGAACAAATTAAGTAACTTTTTTAATCATTCGTTGAAGAAAATTAGGAGTATTTTAATTTTATAGGAAATATTTTTTAGTCTCAAATCTGAAAATTATAAACTCGTTCAAAATTTGAAATTTTCTTTTGTGTAGCATTATCTGTTTTTAAAAATCATCAGTTGGCATCTAAATGAAATTGGTTCCACTGTCCTTGGTATCTTGATTCAATCGTGTTAATCTTGTAGTTGGTATACATATTCAAATATGTTACCATGTCTTTTAAAAGATCTAATAACTTAGAGATTGAACTTTCTTGTAGCTCTTTGCCGTTTGCTTTTCTTCGCATAATGCAAAGAATCGCACATTTGCTAGGCTGTCACACTGATATAAAATGTGCTCTGTTGTTTCTTCTTCTTGATAACCGAACCTGCATTTAATGTTGTTGCACGTTGTTGGTGACATTTATTGATCCTAGAACAGACTGTTTTCGTATAAGTGGCCTTTGTTTTGATGCAGATGGTTGATATAGACAGTCTTCACTCTCAGTTCCATTATAATCGTCGTCCGCAAACACAGTTCTGGATCAGTAGTGTATTTTTAGTTATATAAAATCATAAATTCATTCATTTCTATATTGCTAACTTGGTAGTAATAGAAAATCAATAATAAAGGCGGTAGTAATATTATCGTCCCACCAGGAGTACTGTACTATTGTTTTAATTGGTTAGTGTAAAGACGGCGGAACTGGTTTGTAGCTAATTGATTTTTAAGTACCTCCTTTTTATTTTTACATCTGATTTTACACACTTTGTAAAAAAGATACAGCCTTATGATTCACCAAGAATTTTTATTGGACGTGAGCATTTTGAAGGTTTGGCATGTACATTTTTTGTTTTTTGTGGTAGTTAAATTTATAAAGTTATAAATTCTTAGACAGAAGTAATGCATTAGTTTTAATTTTTACTTGTTATTTTTAGTTTTAGTTTGTGAATTTAGTTTTAATACGCTTTGGTTCTTGCCTTATGTTGAAAGAAAGGAACAATCACAACACCATCCTTTTGCAGAGAGTTACAGCTCTCTGGAAACCCATTTATTCATCATATATCCAATCCATTTTCAGCGAGTAATATACTAACGAAGTCTTGGTTCTAGGTTAGTGTATCTGCACTGTTTTATTAATTCAAAAATGTAACTACCTACCGTATAATATCTTCCTCAATTATGTAGGCTCAGTTTTTAATTTGTTGCTCCAACTTATCCCCATAAAACGACTATAAAACCTGCTCTAAGACAAAAGATTCCTCAAATAAATCAAAGCAGTATTGCACCGACCGTCCCCTAAGTGTTTCGGTATAATTTTTCGATTCAACGTTGGATTCTTTATGTGCAAGTGCACTCCAAACGATGTAATTCGCTTGTTCCGAGTATTTCCCCGCCAAATTGGCAATGCAAATGCCCTTTTTTACGCACAATTTACGTTTTTATTTATCTACGGAAAAGGTAAAGCCGCCTGCCGACGCTGTGTGTGTTTTTATTAAAACATGTTTCATCTCGGAGGTAACGGAAGTGTTGTTTATGTTGGAGGAGGTTGTAATTTCACTATAGTCGGTGAGCTATAACTTTGTGTGTTATATTTTCATTATAAAATATTATCTTTTAGTATACCTGTTTGGCAAAGTATGTAGTATTTATTTTCATATTTTACATTTTTTAACTTTCTTTTACTGTATTATAATATGGTCTTATTTATTGGTCTATTTTAACTAGTTATTTGCTTTAAAAGATATTATTTCCTGTTATTCATTAAAATCTTATTATTAAACTGGCTGTCTAAAGGCCTGGCTTAAACATATGTCTGTTTTTAGGTTCAAACAATTTACTTCTTTTGTTATTTTGGAAATAGTTATGTCGTCAGCACACAAACGTTGTAAAGTATCATATTACTGTAAGCATTAAGTTACTGTACTGTAAGCACAACCAAACCATTACACCAATACTTGACACTAGTGTCAACTACTGTAGAAGACACACGTATCTAGGCAAAGTAGATATCTGTTTTTTTCAGTTGGTAATTGGCATTTGTGTATTTTTAATATAACAATATGTCATCTATAACATCACGGTTTTAGGTAAAAATGCCCTCATATGAGAAGGAAAATGTTAGCTTATCCTGAAGAAGCTGTGGCAGCTGCAATAGAGGATGTTCGCCTTGGGATGTCAATAGCCTCTGCAGCAAAAAGACATCAGGTTCCCAGAGTAACTCTTCTGTACAAGGTGAAAGGAAAAACTCCTATTTCTAGAAGAACGGCACCCAAGACTATTCTCACATCTGATGAAGAAAACTTGCTTGTACAATGGATATTAGACTCGTCGGAAGCAAAATTTCCAATAACACAAATATAGCTGCTGGAGAGTGTACAAATTATAATAAAACGAATGAAAAGAGACACTAGATTTGTTATTGACCACCCTGGCCGTGCATGGTATGAAAGATTTTTGAGAAGAATTGTTTAAAAGAAGACTTGATGACTTGTTTGATCCTTGTTTAAAAGAACGAGTAGCACAAAATACAACAGCTTTAACTATTGCGTGAAAATTGCAACATATTCGCTATTTCCCAATTGGAATTTCCAGAATTAAAAAATATAATAATGATCGAACAAATTGTCTCATTGATAACTTTACCCCAACCCATTGTAAAATCCACAAACGGCAAAAAGCTTTACAAGACTACAAAATATATTTGACATTAACTGACAATATTATTGTTTTGATGTCATTTGTCCATAGCTACCTCTGAATTTAACGTAATTCTGAAAAAATCAAAGTATGTTGATATAAGTGAATGCATAGCCTGGGTATAGTGAAATTTTTTTTATTGTTGAAAATAAGTATAAACCGTAAGGGTAATGTTTTTAATTAATATTAATAAAAATGTCATATTAATTAACATGGAAACTTATAAAATCATGCAGAGTATAATTTGTTTATGGTAATTGACTTGAACTGCAAATTCCATAGAGACGTAGATAGGTACGCTACAAGCGTACACTGGTACAATATCGTGTCTTTTCAATTCTAGTCGCTCAAGATCCTCCTGATGATTGGGAAACCAGGAAATACGTATATAAATCCTAACATTATCTTTTAGTTTTTGGCAAGCTCGGATTGTGCAGTTTACTTATATCGCCATCGATAGTCTTCTTATTTTATCTTTATTACTCTATATATACATATACATATACATATATATATATATATATATATATATATATATATAATATATATATATATATATATATATATATATATATATATATTATTGTGATATTTAAAGTCTTGGTGCGCCAAGCAATAATTAGCTAATTAATTTTTTTGATTAATTAAAATTATTTAAATGATATGATTATGACTCTATCACAATTTTTAATTCTTTTATCTCAGGGTTAAATTCGTGCTTCAATATCTATGCTATTACATGTGAAAGGTAAGGTCCAAAGAATACCGGAATAATAAAAAACACATATGATCTAACACTATATATTGAAATAAAAATAATGAAATAATTCACACTCAAAAGTTTTCAATAAACAAAATCTCATATAATAATTCTCAAAATTTTGTTCTACGTACGTGAACAATCAAAATTAATGGTACAAACAATATTAGTTGAAATCTCAAAATCCAAGTATTACTCTAAATCTCCTAATCAAAATATTTATATCCTTTCTAAATTAAGTGTAAAAAATTGTGTTATCAATGAAAGAAAAACTGCAGAAAACAAAACTATCTCTCTCTGATGATGAGTGGTCCAAATCCTTGTTATTTGTAGACTATATTATTTACTCGTGGCCGCTCCCTAAGTAATCAGCAATCTTACAATAAATTATTGCAAGTATCTCGTCCTTAATGATCTCCTTCAAATGCACGAATCGTTCAAATTATGCTAGCTTCTTCTTCTCTCAATAAACTGAATCTCTCGTTGGCCTGAGTGAAAAATGACTCTTGGAATATCTTTTCTTTACGATAAACTGAATCTCTCGTTGGCCTGAACAGTGACTCTTGGAATATAAGTAGAAAAATATGACTTACAATATTTTACTGGATCAGCTTCTGTCAGATACACTAACTACACGAAAACTCACAAACTTTCACTGCTACTGCTTCCTACCTCTGGGAAACTACCCGAGAACAACGGCCGTTCGCCTTGCACCCTTGGAAACCAACTAACTATCTTTTTTCACTCCGAAATTTAGCTAAACTTTCATTCCTACATACCTCCCACCTTTTTTAATCTCCGCCAATCAAAACTCGTCACAATTCCCCATTCTTTCATTCCGATAACAAACAAATTTTTACCTATAATTATAAAATTTCCTAAAACTTATTTACAAATAATATTTTTCTATAATTCTTAAAAACTAACAAAAACCTCTTTCTAAAACCTCTTCTATTGTCTTTAATCGCTGCGTTAATGTATTTGGAAAAACCCGGTTCAATTGTCTTTGGGATTTCACTTAAAATTATGCGGGTCACTCAAGTATAGTATAACAAAGGAAATAATTTTATGCTTAGCTTACATTTTGTTTAATACAGGTAATCCAAAAATTTAAATATTTTCCTTCTTCGAAATGTTTGTTGGGTATTATCCTAATTATCTGAATTATTTTAATGTTTTTGAATTTTGAAATATTTTAAACAAACCAATATTTTTCTCGTTTTTACATATCATAACAATATATATATATATATATTATATTATATATATATATATATATATATATATATATATATATATATATATATATATATATATCTAACTTGTTCCATTTTATACGTAATTAATATAAATCGTTTGTACCTCTTCTGAGCTGTCCCCCGGACTAAATTACAAAAGTGTAAACTAGAAAGGAATTTTTTCTCTTGCAGTGCCAGACCCTGCAAACGCCAAGCAGGAAAGGCACACGCTTTGGTATGGTATATTTTCCGTATTTATAGGAGCACTTAAGACAACAGGAGCACAGGAGAGACGTTGATATACGACAAGAAACATCTGGAACGTTAGGAAAAATATTATGTACACATGTTTCCAATGTTTCCCAATGACTTTATCAAGCCTATAGTGAGTGACAGCGGGGCTGTGCTTTTATAGGGGAGCGGGTGGTGTTTTAATATCGGACATGATGGGAATTTATGGGGCGGTTTTGCTGGGAGAGGAGAAAAATTAAAAGCGTAATGAAGAATTATGTGAGTGTGATGGGAATAAGTATAACGTTATTATAAAATCATGGTGTTTTTTATTTTGCCGTTTTAACAAGAGTAGAGAAAGAAGTCGAGAGCTGTAACTTTGCTTTGAGCAATGGTAAACGTATTAAAATTATAAAGTATTTAATATTTTCTGTTCATATTTGTCTCGAAGAGCTTTAACATCCTTCAATATGACTTACCATTCTAATTTTTGCGTTTGGGTCTTGCAATCTTCAGGAAGTAGAGATAGTCATAAATTCACTCAAAAATAGAAAGTCAGCAGGATCAGACGGAATAACCAACAAACTTCTAAAACACAGAGGAGAAAGTATAATCCTAGAGATGACAAAACTTATACAAAAACTAATATTGCACTTTAAGATACTTTATCAGATGAACAACAACGATTCAGATCCGAAAGATCCTGCGTAGATGCCGTATGTGTACTAAGATAAATCACAGAAAAGGTCATCGAGTACAATAAACCAGCATATCTGTTTTAAAGACCTGAAAAAGGCTTTCAATCACATTCAAGTCGAAGAGTTCTTCACCTACTGTATAAAATAAACATACCAATCAATATTATACAAACCATCGAAAACATCTACTTCCAGAATCGAATACAGGCAAAGAGAAATGGAAAACGAACACAGTGTATATCAATACAAAGCGGAGCCAGACAGGTTAAGCCCACTTCTCTTTAATATAATAATGGACGAAATAATACACGCAGTACGTAAATAAAGGTCATGATTACAGAATGGGGAACAAAGAAATTCAAATATGATGTTACGCCATGGACGCCGTATTAATCGCCGAGACAGAAGACGAGCTCCAAAGACTAACACACATATTCAATACAACAGGCAAGAAATACAATATGATAATATCAGCAGAAAAAAACCAAATGTATGGCAACATCTAAATACCCACTATGATGTAAAATTGAAATTGATGGGAAAGTAAAAAAACCAGGATGCAAGGTTTAGATATCTTCAAATAGATATAACTAGTTAAGTAGATGTTGAAGAAGTACGACAACTACATACAAGAAGGAAGAAGATAAAGAAGGATCTTGCGATCGAGAACATAAATTGTTTTTGTGTTCTATGTTTCCATCTTTTTAACCATTACGTAGGGCAAATAATATAAGCTAAATTGTAATCAGATTGCAGTATAAATTTTTTTCAATAATAAATTCAAACCTGTGCAAACGTCATCTCATTTAATGTAGTGTCTTTTGCATTTTTTCTCATATTACAGTTTATGCATATTTATTTTGTGTATATATATATATTCAAAGAAAATGAAGAACTTTATCGTTATTACTAGTATCATTTATATCCAAAATAAGTTGACATTACTGGTGTACGTACCTTATTATTTAAGTTTATTTTCAAATAGAGAATAACGGATAAAGCTCATTTTAAAATGGAGTTGCTTTTTACAATAAAATGATGGTACAAAGTGTTACGTTTAAGCACCTATGATAGTTATTATAAAGAGTTGCGCCAACTGCTGGAGATTCACGTAGTAGAATTAACTTTGTGTGTTAGAAATACTCCAATGCATCTCAAAAGCAAATTATATACAACTGCCATAAGATTGGCGATGATTTACAGTAACAAATTTTAAGCAGTTAAAAAGAAAGAACAAATACTAAAAAATGTATGCAGAAAAATGAATTATCGTTTAGTAAATATTAAATAAAATTAGTCATCCGAAATCATGCGCCGTAAGTGGTAAAATGCAACTGAAATCAGGTGCCCATCATGAATTCTAGGACGTTTTGAATTCGGCCATAGTCATCTGGTAAAAAAATATGTGCTGGTCACTTTACATTGTAACAATCAAATATTATACTTGTGCTTATAAAAATAAAAAAAAATACATTAGGTCTAGTTGTCGACTGAGCAGATGAGTGGAAGCGGATGTAAAATACTCAAAATAGTATATTCTTTTTATGTCAGAAGGATATTCAATTGTTTGGTCTGTCAAAGAGTACTAGTTACCGCAAGTACTTGTTTGGTTTGTATGTACAAGTGTCAAATAACTGAGAAGTCTATGTAATAACGGAATTAATTAATGTCCTGATATTATATCGAAATGTGGCTACACATCAAAATAAATACACAACAGCTGAATCAGCAGATTGC